AGGGAATCCTTCAATGTGTAGTGTTGTTACCGTGGTGATGGTGTTGTTACCATGGTAAGGGTGTTGTTACCGTGGTGCTGGTATTGTTACCATGGTGATGGTGTTGTTACCATAGTGATGGTGTTGTAGCCATGGTTATGGTGTTATTATTGTAGTTATGGTGTTGTTACCATGGTTATGGTGGTGTTGCCGTGGCTATGGCATTGTTACCATGGTTATGGTGTTGTTACCGTGGTGATGGTGTTGTCGCCGTGGTGATGGTATTGTTACCATGGTTATGGTGTCGTTGCCGTGTTTATGGTGTTGTTACCATGGCGATGGTGTTGTTGCTGTGATTATGGTGTTGTTACCATGGTTATAGTGTTGTTACCATGGTGATGGTGTTGTTACCGTGCTGTAGCTGCAGTGATGTGGATGGTGTTGAAGGCATGGTGATTGTTGTTGAAGTTTGATCATCTTCTAGAACCATGTTTTGTTCTTCTCTTGAGTAGATTAGATTATTTCGCTCTCGTAGGAGATGCCAACGTAAGATGATGTGTGTGTGTGTGTGTGTGTGTGTGTGTGTGTGCATGTGTGTGCCAGAGAGAGCGTACATTTAACTGTTCCCCTGGGTGGAAGAAGACCATTCATCTCCAGCCTCATGTGTTCTTGTGTGTGTGTGTCCTGTATGTCTCTTAGCATCAATAATGTACACGGCTCACAAATACCCAGCTGCAGAAAGACGATGGATGTGTGTGTGTGTGTGTGTGTGTGTGTGTGTGTGTGTGTGTGTGTGTGTGTGTGTGTGTGAAGAGAATTTGGAGGATGGATGGTCTGGTTGTGCATGTGTGTGAGTGAGTGAAAGTTACAGAGAGAGTGAGAGGGAGACAAACAAAAAGATGGCTGCTCTTTCATGGCTTTCACTGACGACATTCTCTCTCTCTGAATTGCCTCATATTCATTTTCTTGCGGACTAATAAAAGTCCTTTGTGCCGGGGTTGACTTGTTGCTGTTGGGTAGAAAACAATATATTTCCTTGTTTGGAGCAGCAACATTTCATGAATACATGTATTTGACATCAGAACAGTGTGTGCCGTTACGATACGAGCAAGGCTCTATTCAGAATGACTACCCTTGTCACGCTACGGCACAGAAGTATTTTAAATAGCTTGCGGCAAAGAGGTTTTTGTGCCATACAAAAAAGGACGTTTTTATTGCACACAGTATGTCTGATTTTCACACAGTATGTCAGCTAGTCCGATTGTCGACATTACAATCCGACTTACAGTAAGTCTGCCATGGTGCCACCAAATATCCACATGACACCCAAGTAAATAGAAAGATTCTTCACACAATTCAATATGTAGGATTTGGGAATAATCCTACCATTGTTCTGTTGATTCGCATGAATTTGTGCCCATAGTTACGCAAACATGTTTAGTACCCGTGACCTTTGCCGAGGGCGGAACAATATGGTAAAAAAAAATCCTATTGCGATTATTTTGACAGATATTGCGATATGATTCACTATTAGTGGGAATGATCATTTTTGCGTCACAATTTCCATTTTCGCTGAAAAAACTATTAAAATCATGGTGCGACATTTGTTGGGGTCTGTACCAAATTTAACATGTTTTCTTACATCTGGAGGAAAATATTTGTAGGCCAGGGCATCTCTGTAGCAGTACAGTACTTCATTTATAATGCTGTTATATACATTGACACATTTTACCCTTATCAAAAAATTGCAGCTTCTGTGGGATGGGGATATTGCACTTTTTGATAATATTTCAATTAATTGTTCAGCCCTACCTTTGACCCATGTTCTTGGCGCTGGTTCCAGGGTCGCTGGCGGTGTCAGTCACAGACATGACGGCCCCGGTGGTGGGCTCTTCCGGAGGGGTGTATGCGCTGGTCTCGGCCCACCTGGCCAACGTTGTCATGGTACGTACATGTTCTCCGATCTGAGTGTGATCTTTGTATATTCGTGCCTATTTGTCTTTGTGTGTGTGTGTGTGTGTGTGTGTGTGTATAGATCTCTATCACATCACTCAGCATGTGCTGTCAGAATAGTGCAGACCATCTGGACCAATGAAAGCAGTTATTTTTTAAAGCTGGGCAGGTGATGGGTTATCTACACATTCCACACGTTCCAATGTTATATCGTTTTCTTCTGTGTGCGCATGTGTACAATTCACATGCTTGTTCTGTTAAATGTGTAATGTCTCTTGCTCTTGTGCACCGTGTGCATGTGTATTGCATTTATATGTGTGGGTGTGAGTGTGTGTGTGCTTGTGTGTGTGTGTGTGTGTGTGTGTGTGTGTGTATGTCTGCAAATTGGAAACCTGTAACACCTGTAAATGTACTGCATACATTAAATATACCCTTAACACTCTCTTTCCTCTTACACATACTTATTAAATGACCTTGCTGATTGGTCAATCAAATGTGCAGCCCTGCCCACTCTCCTAAGGGAGACACACACACACACACACGGTGGACCTTTGTGTGTTGTAATAGGGTAATGGGGTTTTCCCTGTCATTCAGTGAGCGGTGGGGTCAAGATGGACAGGCTTTCCCATCCGACTCTCAGATGTCATGTGATCATTTTGCTCTGCTAGTCGGGTCAACAGGCGTCTCATAACGCCGAAGGCTTTTTCAAAGTTGACAATAATTGAGAAAGATGGTTCCACTGTGTGTGTGTGTGCCTGCGTGCGTGTGTGCGTGTGTAAGTATGCAAAAGCAGCGGTTTTGTTTTAGTCACTAGAATTCTTTTATCTCTCTCTCTCTCTCTCTCTCTCTCTCTCTCTCTCTCTCTCCGTCCCTCTCTTGATTTGTTGTCTTACTCTCTTGTTCTCTCTCCCTATGCAGAATTGGTCGGGCATGAAGTGTCAGTTCAAGTTGTTTCGGATGGCCATGGCTTTGGTTTGCAGTAAGTGTGTCTCATTATCAAATAGAAATTAAAAATAAAACAAATATTCTGCCATTAGCGGTTAATGGGTCCTCAGAAATCCTTTCATCTAACTGTAGCCTTCTTTTTTTTTTAACTTTAAGGTCGCTAGGGTCTTGATTTAATACCTGCTGTTAATTAAAACCTTGTTTAGATTCATTAGCCAAGGGGCTGGTGTGTGCTTGAATCCTCAAATGAGGACCTGTTCTCTTGACCCACATTGTGAGGAGGAAAGATGGCTCTGATCCAGTGATTGGTGAGCAGAATGCAAACAAGGTTTCAGGAATAGCAAGAGCAGGGCCGTTAACACAAAACTACAAAACTATCGCTGCTATATATTACAGTTACCCCCACACTGACACACACACACATACACACACATACACATGAACACAAGGCTGGAGATGAATGGTATTTCTCCACCCAGTGGAACAGTTACATTTACTCTCTGGCTGTTGAGCGGTACAGACTTGCAGGTGGTGAGGGGCTATCAGTTGAAGAGTGGGAGGGAAAGACGTGTTCTCCTCTAATTGGTACGGCCGGTGAAGATGTAACTTGGCATAACGTAGAATGTCCACTCAGCTGCCAAAATTGATAAAAATTGAAAAGATAAAATTTATATTAATATAACAAAATAAAATAAAAATTATCGATTTTTTTTAAATGCCTGAATCGATTTATTTATTTATTTAATATATGTATATTATTTTACATTATTTATTTAAACAGTATGTTTATTCTTTTAATTTTAAATGCATACAAGAAGTACATTACATCAACAGTAGAACTTCCCCTAAACCCTCCCGGTATAGCAATGACCCTGCTGAAATAAAAATCTGAAACACTGACTGACATGTGATGTGCATTGTTATTGGATATATGCCTCATGATACACAGTCTCTAGAAGTGTATGATTCAACTTTTGTAAATGGAATAGTGTTAAAAAAGTTTTTAAAAATCGCAATAAATTGTAATATCGAATCGCAATACTTGCATAATCACAATACTTAAAATTGCAATACATACGTATCTTGATAATATCGAAGAGATATCGGGCGATAAGCATATCGTCCCAGCCCTAAAACTAAAACTAAACCACACTGAGCCGGTCTCTTCTCGCTCTACTTTACACTCCAGCTGGTAGACCAATCAGCAAGACTACACCCACACGCTACCAATAAACAATCATCCACCGAACCCTCACAATAACACAAATGATAGGGATTACTTGGCACAAACAAACCACAAGCACACACCCATGGTATTTACTCTATTCTTTAGCTGCAGTAAGACCCGTTCTGCACCAAAGACCATGAAGACAACAACGTGTCTGTACATTGATTACAAGTGATGCAACCCACGGACCAATGGGTTACTACCAAATCATAGCATCACTGCACTAAACAGCCACATGCTCATGTCCCTGTGTCCTCCTCTCTCCCTCGGGTCAGTGAGCGTGGAATTCGGCCGGGCGGTCTGGCTGCGGTTCTACCCCCCGGCCTTCCCCCCCTGCCCCAACCCCAGCTTCGTGGCCCACCTGGGGGGCGTCGCGGTGGGGCTGACCGTGGGGGTGGTGATCCTCCAGAACTACGAACAGCGGCTCCAGGAGCAGTCCCTGTTCTGGATTTTCTTTTGCGTGTACGCCCTCTTCGTGCTCTGCGCCGTCTTCTGGAACGTCTTCGCCTACTCCCTGCTGGATGTGCGACTGCCGCCGCCCCCGTGAGGAGGCACCCTTTGCCCCGCTTCTCACCCCCCCCCCCCCGTCCAGCAGTAGATGCCGGGGCGTGGGAGGACCTCGCTGGTGCTGCTGTCCCCCTTGGCTCTCCGCTTTTGGGGACCCTTTTTACACCTTTGAACCTAAAGCTCAAGCCCACTGGGGTTTCATCAACCTGCACCCTGCTTCTCATCCATCCTCAATTCCCCCCAAACCCCCGTTTCCTTTCCTCCATCCCATACAGTCGTCTTCATGCCGTCTTTCTCCCCTCATCTAAATAAATACATACACACCATTTGGTGGACGCTTTTATCCAAAGTGTCTTACAACACCCAGCGCATCCATTTTGAGCATGGGTGGCCCCGGTGGGAATCGAACACCCTAACCCCGGCGGTGTTAACGCTCTACCAGTTGAGCTAGACGGGACCATCTGACTGCTGTTTGTTTGTGTCACGTCGCGTGAGCCAATGGGGAGATGTCCTCGGTGAGGGGAAATTGTGTTGGGCCAATGGGGAGCCAACACCACACCAACTAAACGAGCGCACAGTGAATCACACATTTTCAGCCCTCCTGTTCCTCTCGACGGTGCCTACTCATTCAAAAGTCAGCTATAATCCTTCTGTACACCAGCTTTAACGTAGGCTCGCGGCGGGGACGGCCTGTTCTGTAAGCTGTCTTCGAACCAAACACTTTCTTCTGTAACAGTACCTTCGTTCTCTGTCGCATGTAGTGACATGGAAATGAACACCATAAAATGGAATAGATTTCATTGGTCTATTTCATGCTTCACTACAGATTTGGAGTAAGCAAAATGTGTTGAGATTGGTAAACCTGTTTTGCTGTAACGGGGGAAAAAAAAAAAAGACGAAAAAGGGAAAACAGAGGGTTTGAAAATGTATACCTCTTACCAGTACTGTAATGATTAGATTTGTGAATGGAGATTTAAAGTACTAGTCAGTGTTGTCAGCTGCGTGTTGTGCTTCCTCAAGAGATAAATCTCCAGCTTTCAGCAGTATTTTAGCCTCAAACCTGTGCTTGTTTAACGTCTTAGTGTGTTGAGTCAGGCATTCGGACCATTATGTACAACACCGATGAAATTAAAGTGCCATGCAAACTCTTAGTTGTGAAAAGAAATGTTGCCAAAGTGTCTGCCACAAGCACTGGCACAAGAAAAGACAAGAGTGCACATACCAAGTGCTGCTTCATTTGTTAGCAAAGCTTAGCCTCTTTTGTTATTTGTTTGTGAAAATGACTGAGTGGGGTAAATAATGAAAGCTAATGCAACTTAAGTCTCAGCAAGTAATGACAAATAGTTTTGTGTGCCGACTGACATTTGGTGGATAGCCAAGAATATCAAATGAATTCGATTTAGCTATCTCTCTTGCAAGGATGCAGGAAGAAACAAATGAGGATTTCGGTTGAACGTTTTTCACAATTGGGATCATTAGGTTTATTTTCATCAATTGCTAAACAGAAAAGCACATATTCCTGTCCAGGACTATAGAAGACATAGGGTTCCTTTTTCAGTTGGAAAAGTCAATAATTAATGAACTAATTAATAATAAAAAACACTGTCAACTCTACTGAATAAACAGATGACTAAGTCGCATTTACAATGTATTATACGCTCCAATTTAATTAAGATTGAGGCAAACCCGGAGCTCTACACAGACTGATGTTAAACAGGTTAAGCTCTTGCACAAAAATTTATATAAACTAACGACGCATAACTGAGTGAATTGGTGACAATATTTTAGCAGTGTGCATATTTTGTAGATTTGATATGTAAATACTGGAGTACATTAAACCATTTTATTTAATTACCAGCCAGTGTCAGTTTCTTATTCAAATGACCTTTTCCATAGTGCAGCTGTGCGAATGCCCTATTGTTTGTCGGACAATGGGACTTATTTTGTTGTCCACAATAACACCACACCAGCCAGACCTTTTCTATCATTTTCAGCTGATCTGGCTTTTGGGAAGTGGGAAAAAGAAAGTGTTTGTGTGTGGAGTCTGGGCAAAATGGGAGCAAGGGGCAAACAGAGGAAGGCCTTTGTCAAGTCTTCTCTGCAACCTTTCTGGTGTGTGCGTGTGTGTGTGTGTGTGTGTGTGTGTGTGTGTGTGTGTGTGTGTGTGTGTGTGTGTGTGTGTGTGTGTGTGTGTGTGTGTGTGTTGGGTGGCCAAACAATGAGTCAAATAAACCCAAATGTCCGAGCCTCTCAAAAACCCCATTACAACGTTTCCCTGATATAGGAAATAACAAACACACACACACACACAAACACACACACACACACACACACACACGAAGTCCAGTGCTCCCTGATTGGTTTGCAGAGCAGCCTTTGAGGAAGCAGCAAGCGTCAAAGTGATCAATGAAGTGCAGGGCCACACAGGAATCTCCCATAATTCATTGTGGGAGGGGAACCTGTAAGCGTGTGAGTCCAGCAGGTATAGGCCCACGTGGAGAGCAGCATCGTGACACATGCGTTAAGATGGCCACCGGATCCTCTGTCTCTTGCACACCGTAAACCGTCGTTTGTCATGATCCATCTTTCATCTCAGGGTGAAAGCAGTGGTGACTGTGGGGGGAGGGGTGCAACATCAATTGACAGCAATGGTTTTGATTGATACCGTCGATTTGATTGTGCCTAAATGGTTTATTAAATAAACAAATGTATCTTATGATGTTATTGTTTGTCTATTGATGCCATTTGGTGTGTCTCTCTCTCACACACACACAGACACACACACACACACACACACACACACACACACACACGCGCAGAGTCGTTTTTACTTAGTACACTGTCTCCATCAAGTGGACCATAACGACATTACACGTTGCAGTAATGCGCATCGCGTTGCGTAAATACCCGCGTTATGGGACCGATGTATCGGTGCGTCTTACGTAGTCCCGGTATTATTATCATCGAGGCGGTTATTACCATAAAAAATCGCGTGATAGAAAAACAAAACCGATCTGTCGGTTTTTTTGGGGGGGGGGAAGCGCGCGTGTCAAAAATAACGACCGCGCGTTGCATTGTGGGAAAGGTGTGCAGCTTAAACTTCCGCCACTAAAGGCGCCATTTTCGGCGTTGTCACGGGGCTGCAGCATGTCGTTAAACCGTAGGAGATAATACGCCTTAGACGGTTTATTATTCTTTTTTTAAGTGTTACGCGGAACCGCTTGGCCGTCATTTACGAACAATGGGGCGGAAGAAGAAGAAGCAGATGAAGCCGTGGTGTTGGTATCCTTCAGAAGCAAGCGCTGAAACAAAAACAAAACCCAAAAAAAGCGTTGGACGCCGAGCCTGTTAACCGTTAGCTAACGACAAAAGAAAGCGAGGCCTAGGTCGCTGCGTTCGGTAGGAAAGTTAATTAGCTTTAATACTACGTCGGCAAACCCGGTGTCACCGGTTCAGTTAAAAACGCGTGGACTCTACGGGGCGGCGTACCGGGTGGTATTATGTCATCCGTGTTGGCTATACTGGTACGTGCAACTGGTAACGTTGGCGCCAGCTAGCTAGCCGGCTAACTCGGCTAGCGGCTAGCTGCGCTCCCTTCGCGGTGAACGTGCACCGAGACGGGGAAAATGTGTTAAAAAAAAAATGGGGCCAACGTTCAAAAGCGGCGTCCCCGAACCAGGCGCGTTAACCGCCTGGTTCGGGGAATTTGCGGAGGCGTTTGTTTCAGCTTAGTCACAACGTATCCACCGCCCACATCGATGTCCACACAATAAACACCGAGCTCATCTAATACTAGGCAATAGGAGTGCGATGATGTGGTGTTAAGTCATAATGCCGCCGTCCCGCCATTTGAGATCGCCACTTGTCGTCTACCGTGACGTTTAATGTGATTTTTGGGTGTATATGGTGATGTGTGTTCTGCGTTGTTGCCACGAATAGCCAATGTAGAAGCTGCTCTCTAGCCCCGGTCTGAATGATGTTGGCGGTCCACCAACTTGATCCTTAACTGGGATCTCCCAGGTACTGTAATCGAGACTTTGACGACGAGAAGATCCTCATCCAACACCAGAAGGCCAAGCACTTCAAGTGCCACATATGTCACAAAAAGCTGTACACGGGTCCGGGTTTGGCCATCCACTGCATGCAGGTGAGTGTCTCACTGGCAAACATGGACAGCCCAAGTGTGCCCATATAGTTTTATTATATTTGCTTATGCCTGCTTCAGGTACACAAAGAGACCATTGATGGCGTACCGAATGCTATACCTGGAAGAATAGACATAGAGCTGGAGATCTATGGCATGGAGGGGATCCCAGAGAAAGACATGCAGGAGAGACGGCGAACGCTGGAACAGAAATCTCAAGGTAAACATAAAAACTGAATCAACTTCTGTACATATATTTTGTAGGCCTCAAGGCTTACAAGTCATTTTCGTGAAAGAAATACGATTGAGGAGGATTCTGATTGGCATGAGAGGCAGACCAGCAGGTGTATCAACATACTTGCTGGTAACTGATAAGGACCGTTGAACAACAAATAACCAAGTGTAACCCAATCTCATTGACCTCGCCCGAGATTAAAACAGGAGCCATAACCATGAGCTTAGAAGGAAAACGATTAATACGAGTCACCAATTATTCTATTTAAAAGAAAATGGCACAACCTGTGGCCATTTTCCATCTTAACATTGTGGACATTTGAGATGGCTAATCTTAAAACCAGTTGGATCCTAATCCTCCATGTTTTTTGTCTGTGGCCCTCCAGAAAGCCAGAAGAAGAAGCAGAACCAGGATGACTCGGATGAGGAAGATGATGACGACGAGCCAGGGCCCTCGTTTCAACACCCGGCAGCTGCTCAGGCCCCGGCTGGCTACAACACCGCCATGGGCCAGCCTGCCCCTGTTATGCCCCCTGCTGGCTACCAAGGCAAGCTACCAGTCCCACAAATCAATTGGGTTAATTTACAAGCACTAGTTTATTGCTGCTTGGATAAATGCGTACCTGGAGCAGAGGCAGATGGTGCACACATGTGATTGATGTCCTTGTGTAACCTGAGTAGATGCTCGTTGTCTGTTCGTCTTGAATCTAGGTCTTGTCTAGGTCTCTCATAGGTCTATGACCATCAACCTACTACGTTTTGTGAATGTACGGAGTTGGCAGCACCCACCTAAAACACTCCAGGACATGTGAATGTGTGTCTTGTGTGTGGCTCACTGTGATGTTTCTTAAGCAGGAATGCCTCCAATGATGCCGGGCGTCCCGCCCATGATGCACGGCATGCCCCCCGGCCACATGCATGGGATGCCACCAGGGTGAGCTTTCATTACTACGCTGCACACCATGCTTCTTGCCAGCGCCACCATGTAACTTTTAGGGATGTGACACAGTAATTGGTTACGTTTTCTTCTACAATCTTAAACACAGTAATCTAAAATAATAGATGCCTGTCCCAACACTGC